CTGCATTAAATCAGCATATTCAGATAAAATGAATACAGTAACCACGAGATGAAAATATTTGCCTTACATATATCGCGGCGAAGGCGTCGATTTATGTTACCAAAAGACCTTCGTGTCACGTACTCCCTGAGAAATATCGTCAGGTGACGACAGCGAGAGGTGCGGTGCCGTGCACGAAAGTCGAAATTATTGGCGGAAAACCAGGATGGAAGAGAGGCGGAGGATCGAAAGGAAACCAAGGTGGAATAGACGACGACGACGACGTCGACGGGAGGATCGAAGAAGAGAAAATGCGGCGATCGTGCCGTGCTCTCGACATTTTCGAAATCGCACCGTCCGTCGTCGCTCGCAGATCGACACGACGCGACGGGTAAATCGACGAGGAGCGATTTTTTTTTTTTTTTTTTTTTTTTGAAAATGAGATTTCGACGGCGACTCGGCGACGACGCGAAAAATTGCTGCGGCGGTAGAGAGAACGGATTGTCCTCCTTAATCGGATTGCCGAACGGCGAAATATGGCGCACGAGCGGCCGCGTTTGCGATTTCATTGCCTGGCCCGTCGACATTTTCATATTTTCGAAAATTGCAGGGCTCTCATTCGATTTCGCCGTCGGACGAGATTAGTGCCCGCAGTCGACGCTTTCATCTCGCATGACGGCGGAGATTTGTCGGAAACCGCCGTAACTCGAGACCGATTCGCGTCTACTTGCACGTGGTCGAACGCTGCGAATTTCCTCATATATCATCAGTTAACGCTAACGTTTTAATTGATGGCCAGAAGACGTGCGTTAAATAGTTATTGATAAATTATTATCTAATTTCTGAAATTTGAAAGACAAGTTCTTTGATGCATTTACTTCCTTTATCTTGCTTCAGTCCGTGTGGAAAACATTTACGTGCGACTAAGGCATTGAAAGTTTAACACAAGACGCTAAAAAATGAAAGAAAATTTATTTCTGTGGACTGTAGATAGTTATCTCAGTACATATCTGTGGAATCAATAACAAGCTATTTTTAGGAATCGATACGAAAACATTTGTAAAAACCATACATACCATATATATATATATATATATATATATATATATATGTATGTGTAAATATGTAATACGTCTTTATCAGATTACAACAGAACACAAAAGTTTCGAAGTTTTTCGTTGGAAAACATTTTATCAGAATGACAGAACAGCGTGTGCGTGCAAAATATATTTACGTTTTCGAGAATGATTGCGCGTTTGTAATAACAGCCGTGGGTGCGCTTTTTTATTGCTCAACGGTATCAGTCAACAGGAAATACGTTTCGAATCGTAAAAAAAAAAGAAAAAAAAACAGTGGAGAAACGAAACGCGAATATCGCATTTCGAAGTTATCTCCGTACATATTGACTTTGCTTAGCGAATATATGTATATGTGTAGATATATACCTTGAATCAAAGCGGTACCGGGGGGATCGATAATTAGTTCTATTGACGTTAATCGTCCAGGAGTGCCTATGTATAGATGTACCACATTCCGCGTACACATGTATATTCATCTCGGTAAACCTGTCGCAAGGCGAGCGTCGAGCAGCGCGCGTCCTTTGATCCTGATATTAGTTACGCACCGATTTGGCTGTTATTAAAATCACTCAATCGCGTATAACAGCTGCGCCGTGCCGCCGATTATTTCATTTTCAACCAATCGACCAACGGATCAGCTCACTCGCGCACTTAAGCTGTTTATTCTCTTTCATCTCAAATTAAATGACGAAGGACGGGGCCGCCCGGTGGAGAAATCTCGAGCGCGCCCGCCCCCACTTCATCCCATCCTGCTCGTGTCGGGAATAATTCATCGCACTCGAGGTTTTTCGCCAGATAACATATGAATATCAAGTGTGTCAAAGCATTGACATAGCGGCTTTGTGCCTGAGATATTAAAAGCCGGCGCAGAATTTTGCATACTATGAATTTTTTAAGTCTCGTCCTTTGCATGGAAAATATAAAGAGTAAATCCAGCAAACACTCCAAGTCTCGCGCGCGCGAATATTTAAGGTTGAATATTAACGTCGCGCATTAACATCTTTTTACCGCCGGAATTAAAATTAGTGAGAAACGGTGCATAGTTGCGGCCCTCGCTAAGCATGCAAATTGCTGCACGCGCGCATAAAGAGCTCCGCTCGAACTACTATTAACGAATATTTGTTCGTATTATTACCGCGCACTCCGTATATCAAATCATGGCCCTTTTAATTTTATGGTGCTCCGATTTTTTATACTTGCCTTCTGTATAAGATACAAATTAAGGACATGTTAGTATGAGTACGATAAATATTAAAGAGTATGTTCATTTATCTTTCACAGTTTTCATACGGTTTTAAACTGCGTACCTTTGAATGTACACAAATCTCTTTGAAATGCCCCAACATGCTGTAAATTATTAATGTATCAATATATATTTATTATTTTAATAATTATTATTACCAGCTTTGACTTATACATATATATAGAAGAACAAATTGTTTTAACTTGTATTGCGGTTTGCATCTCGTTCGCGAACGTTTGCGTATTTAAATTGGATGCGTTGCACATACGCGGATGCAGCTTTAGGCGCGGTTTTGCGCAAGGACGGGACGTACCGCCGTCGCTGATTTTCCGTAATTATTGCCGTCGCCGCGAGGACGGCCGCAGCGAGAATGCGCCGCGACGCCCCTTCCGCACCGTCGTATTAGCGCCGGGAATGCAAATAATTGTTCGCCGCGGCGTGCGCGTATGCGTGCGTGCGTGTGTACGGGGTGGCGAAACCGACCCTAGAATGCAAATAGAGCCGACTTCGCACGGGACTCCCGCCGCCGCGAACGAGCTCGCTGGTTTGTTCGCTGATGTGGATACATATAGGTACGCCTTTGTATGCGCACACACAACACACCCGGGTGGTGGATTATCCTATCTGTCGACGTACATGGGGCCACCCTTAGGAAAGGCGAATGTCTTCGAAACGCATAAAAGAGGAACATACGGTCAAGAAGCGATTTCGAGCGGCGTAAATGTTGCCCAAATATCGTTCGCTAAACATGCTTTAATTAGTCATCGATGGTCTCACTTGGAAATTTTCGGTTAATTAAAGAGACAAAAGATTCCAAATGAAGACATCGATGTTTTCTCGCTCTCTACTGTTGAAGCTAATTTTTCTTAAAAGCTGTGTTAGTATATAATAGGTACAACGGGTTATAATGTAACGTGTATATATATATAATTGCTATAATGTCAAAGAAGGAGAAATTTCTATAAGTGATTGTTAACTCCAACACGGTCCGGCCTGACCGCGGATATAATGCATTATATATAATACACCTTTTGTACGTCACGCAGAACACGGGAGAGGATTTGTTCGAGCTCTGGCATGTCTCGCACGCTTCTCGTGTTTCAAGCTTCGCGATGTGGAGGAAAAAGAAACGTTTGGTAAAGGGCAATAAAATATCGCATCTCTGTGTCGTAGGACGCGATTAATCGCCGGTCCGGCAAGAATTAATCGTCGGCGCTGCGATAATTTATCGCGGCCCGTCTCGCCGCGATATTTTAGCCGCGGATGTTTTTTCCTGGTTTCGCGCTTCGCTAACCTACCGCTTTTCCACCGGAAAAAGGAAGCGCGTTCCGACTCGGCGAAATCACTCCCTCGATTCTGTGTCCACCGAGATTCGCACTATACACACAGGTCACTTTCCGGTATATCCTTCCTAGACAATTTGACCTCGCAACACGAGAGTTTCCATACTCTTGATCTCTCGACAAAGTAATTATATAACTTATTTAATTACAAATACTAACGTTGAGACATTTTATTTATTGTAATAGATTAATTTTTTTTAATTCAATATTTTCTTCAGACTGTTGAGATACTTTTTAACAATATATCATCTTATTATAATAGATGTACTATCCCCAATGATTAATCTAATAATGTATTTAAAAATTGTGCAATTATTTTTATATGTTTATGATATGGACTCATGCTTCTAGTATAATTGGTTTTTTCTCTTCGTTATGCTTTAAAAGCTAAATGCATTTTTCATGCTGATGACACATTTAACTCTTGATGACACTTTAGAAATATTGATTTAACGGTGTGTACTTTTTTTATATTATAAACCTATGCCAGCGTATGAAATGTGATAAATAAATATTTAACTTTAATTCCGATAAAAGATAACAGTTTTACGTCTGACAAGAGAGCACACCGCAAAAACGAGACAACGTACTCGGCAGAAAATTCAGATTTTAATAATATTTTACATATATGTAGGACAGTCCGAAGGATGAGTGATTTTACAATTTCCTGTTAGCGCGAAAAATGGATTTATGTTGTCGTACTTCGCGCTCTAACGCACGAGGCTAAGAATTTGCAAGTAAAATTAACCGCGGCCTATTTCCCGAGGCGGTGAATTAGTTATAAAGTAAGCTTTTAATTTTTAACCCTAGAACACTTTTGCTTTCCTTGCCAGTCTTATTTATCTACTTTACTTTATTTTATGTTTCTTCGAGAGAGAAATATTAAATATTACGGCTCACTTCAAAGATAATTAAGTGGTTGAACGTGGTTGAAAACAATTTTAACTGCGATTTATCTAAAAAATATATATATATATTAATTATTTTATATCTATATACAAATCCAAATAATTTTTTTTTGTACACATGTTTAGGTAATATTACCTATATTTTCCTGTCGCACTTGTAACTTCTATCGAATCGAAAGTATTATTACGTTTAATTATTACTATCTATTATACATTTATTACCGTAATTAATTAAACTTTATCGTACATGACACATATTAATTTTACGTAAGTCATAATTTACGTACCAAACATTTATAAATATCTTTATTACAATCAATCGATAAAATTACGGTCATATATTTAAGATCAATCATGTAGATAATCGATATTTTGTGATAATTAACCGTTATCAAATATTATACTCTCCGCATACAACTTATTGGGTCTTGTTCGTTTTTGTTTACAGAAACTGCAAACGATCGGCGAAGATTTCTGCGGCCTCGACGTAAACACGCCTTTGGGCGGCGAGGAGCCGATGGGTGCGACTGCAGTTTTGACATTCGAAACTCACCTGACGGCTGTGGCGGCCACTTCAACCGGCGATTACACCGTAGTTTTCGTAGGCACCAATAAAGGACACCTCAAAAAGGTCAGTGCTCGAACTTAAATAACTTTTGATAATTTCTTTAACTCTATCAAATTATAATTGTCTTCTGCGATTTAGCGGAGAGAAAATCTTCACATAAATTTCTAAATGAAATAGTCCTTAAAGTAAAATCATTAACTATTAATGCGATTTTGGCGATTCGATTGAATTAATTATTGATCATGACGGAATACTGGCGGTTACGTTATTACTCGGCAAATTATCTAAACCCAATAGATTTAATGAAAATGCGATATTGGGGAATAGCGTACTATATTAGCCACGCTACATGAATAAATGACACTAACAGCGAAGAGTGGTTTGACTTAGCGTGCAAGTTGTTGCAAAATTATCTAATAAAAGTTCCCCAATCTCTCTATACTGCTTCATAATTATGTGATAATGGAGAATTTCCACGTAAAATAACTGAGGCGATCAGCGTTATAAAGTCATCGATTAGCGAAACATAGCTCGACGCTTAACGCTACTTGCTTCCTCCCAGTCTCTTCGACGCTGGAGGCAAGGAGTTCAGCAACCCTGAACTTAACGGGGCGAAGCAGGATCAAATGGCAAAGTTCAGTAGTTGCATATACTGCACGTACACATATGCACGCGCCCGCCGTCTCGTCGAAGCACACGCCCGCGTATGTGTATACCCAAAGTCTTCCTCGATCATCGTAGGGCATGATCGTTAAATTAATCGCGATCACCATACGATTATCGCGCTCGTGAATCAAAATACACGATACAACAGCGCGCCGCATAAATGTTACAACGAGCGATTTAATTGGCTCCGCGATAGGCGATAGAGTCAAACAGTTTGCCCAAAAAACCTGCATGAACGGCGTGTACTCCGCAGAATTGGGGATCGTGGATAGTGGAATTATCGCGCATCGCTATTAAAGCAATCCCTATGAAATTTTCGCAGAAGTACAGCCGCATCGCTAGTTGGATCATCACGAACGGGAATCCTCGTGGCGCGGACTGAATTTCTGCGCTTTTTTTTTTCCTAATCCGGATATTGAGATTTACTGTGAGAGATTTGTACTTCTCATTCTCTACGCTCCAGACGTAGCTTTCGAATCTTTTTTTTCAATTTTGACATGTATATAGAGGACGTTTGTATTTACAAAAGCCGTTAATAATCTTTCTCGTTAATTTATTTTTCAGAAGTTTGTCATTAGTTACCCGCAGGTAGAAAGGAAACACGTTCTTATTCGCGATCTCGCTGCAGCGGCAGTCACCGTCCTCTCGACAGAGAAAGTAACGATAAATATAGCTGGCCGTCCTCTATTGTAGATAATAGTATTTATAGAGTAATAACGTATATAATATCGGGAGGTGGAAGAAAGGGGAGAGAAGGAAGCGAAGCACCACGCGTCTCTATATACCTATATACGCATTGCACGCTTCTATATTTTCACATATGTATCTACACCACGGTAGGCGCGACGTTTATACGTTTTTACGCCGTAACGTCATATCTCGTTATAAATTTCTATTATTTACGATGCTGCGAACGCGAAATCTCTATCCGCGACTCCCGTGATGCCCCTCTGAGATTTATCGGTCTCGTAAACGGCGACGTGTAACCCTACTTTGGACGTTTAACACTCGGAACGGCACATCCGGAGTCGGGTGGCTCGTGATTCGCCTTTGTGAAGCTCGCGACGTAATACGCCTTTTGCCATTTCAACGGAAATGGATTATCTTGGCGAGACCTCGCCTCGAGCGCGCCTCGCTAATGTTCCTCTCGAGAGCGCCCGATCAGCTTGTTCGATAGGTCAAGTCGATTTACGTGAGCGTGCGCTTATTATCGCGAGGAGAAGATTTATTTAGATCCAGAAAACTGATCCAGGAATCACTAATACTACAAAGTTACAAGAATGTACAAGGTGAAAACAAATGCTTATATATCAGATCCAGAAATAATAATAGCAAGAGTGATATAATAAAACTGAATTATCGTATATCTATTTTTTTAGAATTAATTTTTTCAATAAAAATTACAATTATATATACGATAATGAAAATATGATAATAACATTAATAATGACAGTAACACAATAATAATGATATGAATATTTATAATGATGCATATTGGATTGTGATAGTTTCTAAGAGAATGTATGTCTGTTATTTTTGTTTTATGTATTATTTATGAATGTCTATTATCTTTCACTCTTCTTATACATATTGATTGTTTCTGAGATATGCAATAATACGATTTCCATGAAAAGTAAAGTTCAAATAATAGTTTTTGTGTAAATTAAATGTTTTATTCCCAGAGAAAGTTTTCGCGCACATGATATAGAATATCGTTACCGCCGCGGCGCGAGCTACGATATCTCCGCTTTATTTCCTCGCAAACTTATTTTATTAGTTTCATGAGATCATCTCGTCACGAACCGTTCCTCTGGTCATGTAGGAATACTTATTGTTAGTTTTAATAGGCTATCAATATCTTTATGCATTCAATATCGAGTACCGTAAGGGCATGACAGAATACAAAAGTACAGGCAATAGGAACAGGGAATAGAAATCAGGAATCATATATAAATGCAGAATAATTAACAATGACAATAATAGACAAAGTTTCTATCACGTTGGAAATTCTGTGCTTATTGCCTGTTGTCAACCAATTATAGCATTCAAGTTTTTTAGGTTATAATTATAACGAATTTTTGTTTATTTCCTGTTTTTATTGCCTGTACTTTTGTATTGTGTCATAGCCTATACTTTGTGATAAATTATAATCATTTCGAATAATTATTTTAAAAGGTATACCGAGTACTTGAAAAATTAACGTATTTACGTTTATTCACAGCACTAGTTTTAACTTTTTGCTTACGATCTTTTTCAAGTTGACTAATATCGAATCAAAATGTTAATACTGATAATATTTGTTATGAAAATATCAATATAGAGTAATATTGAAATAAATAATATTACAAATTGCTGGTATTATACGAATAGTTTTACGGTCGTATGATATGTGAAACACGACGTCTTCGTTGCATCGAGGTAATAAGAGCAATGTGAAGGGGATGGCAATAAAATACGCGCCATACGCGAATCAGTGATGCGGGAAGTAAGAACGAGAGGATGAATTCATCCCCGTCGCGTTTCGTATCTTGTATAATTTATCGGTCGAGCGATTTCAATCGTACTTTCGGTCCTTATTGTCCTCGTCCGCGTGTTCGACCCAGTAGTACGAAGGCTTATTCTCACGTGTGACACGTGGCAATATATGACGCACGTGTGCTTGTTATAGCTAAGCTTAATATTAACTGATATAATTAAATCGATAACTAACCAAATTAGTAGCTCGAATTTTGTAGAGAAAAGACATCGAGACTTGGTTCATCTAAAAATATCGGATATTGGATATCTGCATAATTTAAAAAAATTTAAATTTTAACTATCTTTATCGAATAAATCTCAAATTTGATGAGATTATCTTGAAGCAGAATTTATCCCGAACTAAAGAAATGATAGTAAGTCTATTTAAATACCTAAACATAAATATAGAATATATTATTTGCTTTGTTTAACGCGCAGTGGAGTCCCCGTGGCAGTGACTCCAAGGCATATACCGGGATCCCGAGTTTGGAGCCGAACACAACGAACGTGTCGGAGAACGAGCGTGGCCTAGTAGACAGCGCACTGGTCTATTGAGCCAAAGGTCCCGGGTTTGATATTCCCAGTAGAGCTAGAAAAATTTATATTTGCTCGTTCTCCTTTCGAAAGGCAATGGCAAACCACCGAGAGTATGCCTTGCCAAAAGAGAACTTTTCTGAAAAATATTAGCCGTTTGAAATCGGCGTTAAACTGTAGGTTTCATATACAATGTGTATAATCCACGTGCGCAACACGTGTATATGAAGAGAAGTCACCACGCTTGGGCACGAATAATAGGAGTATGAGCATTTACTCTATCTTGTTTTCCTCTGCTTGTCCACAACTCGTCCTTAACTATTTGTTGTTCGTAAAGAAATGAATAATGTATAAATTCTTTTCTTCCAAAACTGAAAATTGTTCGAGTACATGTGGACATATTGTTAACAAATCTGTGGAGCACAGATAAACAATGATATGATATGAGAAAATGGATAGTTGAAGGTCTGTCGTATCTAACTTTTATCTTAAAGTTCAAAAATGCGTTGAACGGAGACAAATTTTTGAACTTTAAGATAAAAGTTAGATACGACAGTCGACCTTCAACTATCCATTTTCTCATATTTGTTTCAGGAGTGATCAAAAATTTTTTGCTGTTGCAAGAACTTGCACATATATTGATCGATATTAAAATATTATTTTTAACTAAATTTTCAATTTTCTGGTATTTTAGATAACATGCTGAATTTCTGAGATACTCTGTACCTACATGTTAATTGATAATCGATAATTGATAAATAATTGATAAGTTGTAACATATTAGAGAATATTATTACTAAAATAATAATAGAATCGATATATATTACTAGAATATAGTAAAACTGTTCTAAAATAACATTGATTTAACATTTTACAGCTAATTTCCTGATTAAATAAAGTTTGTATTAGAATTAACAAAAATTAACAAAAAGATCTTCATACATTTACATTTAAATTATCACATTTGGAATCAATAATCTCCATTTGAAAATTCAAGATTTGACATATTCTATTGTGATTTAGTTAGCAAGAAATTCCAAAGCATAAATAAACATTAATTATTCGTATGTTTGCTTTTATCAATGTTTTAGGATTATTATAAAATAACAAATAGAGTACATTTATACAAACTGTAAATTATCTTAAACTGATAGAAAGTACGCGGTTTCCCGTAGCGATCACAACCGGGAACCAACGCGAACTCAATTTTCGCGGATAGAACTTTTTCACACGAGTGCACTGACTTGCGCGAGCTAATTACGCTGGATCGGCTGGTCGGTGATTAATAATCGTATCGCATTGTTTATCATTCCTACGATCATCACAACAACACGGCGGCGCGGCGG